TAACTGTAAGCGTATGTATAACTGTAAGTGTAAACACAACTGTAAGTGTATGTATAACTGTAAGTTAAGGACAACTGTAAGATTATGTATAACTGTTAGTGTATGTATAACTGTAAGCGTATGTATAACTGTAAGTGTAAACACAAATGTAAGTGTAAGGACAACTATAAGTGTAAGGACAACTGTATGATTATGTATGACTTTTAGTGTAAGCACAACTGTAAGATTATGTATAACTGTTAGTGTAAGCACAACTGTAAGATTATGTATAACTGTTAGTGTAAGCATAAATGTAAGTGTATGTATAACTGTTAGTGTAAACACAACTGTAAGTGAAAGCACAACTGTAAGTGAAAGCACAACTGTAAGTGAAAGCACAACTGTAAGATTATGTATAACTGTAAGTTTAAGCACAACTGTAAGATTATGTATAACTATTAGTGTAAGCACAACCGTAAGTGTATGTACAACTGTAAGTGTATGTATAACTGTTAGTGTAAACACAAATGTAAGTGTAGGCACAACTGTTAGTGTATGTATAACTGTAAGTTAAGCACAACTGTAAGATTATGTATAACTGTTAGTGGAAGCACAAATGTAAGTGTATGTATAACTGTTAGTGGAAGCACAAATGTAAGTGTATGTATAACTGTTAGTGTAAGCACAACTGTAAGATTATGTATAACTGTTAGTGTAAGCACAACTGTCAGATTATGTATAACTGTTAGTGTAAGCACAACTGTAAGATTATGTATAACTGTTAGTGTAAGCACAACTGTTAGATTATGTATAACTGTTAGTGTAAGCACAACTGTAAGATTATGTATAACTGTTAGTGTAAGCACAACTGATAGTTTAAGTACAACACCACAACAACTCATATTGTGAACATAAGTGTTATTGTATGATAAAGAACACAACAAAAGAATAACCTGCAAAAATAAAAATGTTCCGTCTTTCTTAATAAAAAATTATTATTTTAGAGTTTTATTCTGCTTGACAGTTAAGCAAAATTGCATATTTATTCTGACTTCCGATATCGGATTGTTCGGTATTACGTTCAATGGACGAGATACGCCGATTCCAACCTGAAAACAAATATACATCGTAACCCTTGTTGAACAACGAGGAGTATTTCCAGAGATCGAACAAGGCAATTTAGAAGAATAATCGATATATTTTATCCGACAAATTTGATTGTTATAAACTACAATAGAACAATAGCAGAATAAAAGCCTAGTAGATTTGAAACCCTATGCAGGATTCTGATAGAAGGAGTCCGGATTTATGAAAGAAATAATGGTCTTTGTAAGGTAAACGGTCTCATTGAAATCGTGTAACATTTTGTTTTCATTTAAAGAGAGCACCTTTTATGTTCTAAACGGTTTTTAGACGAAAGGGGTCAAATATCGATACAAATGCGGTCTCCTTAAATGTTGGCCTTTTCCCTTGTGCTTATAATAAGTAAAAAATTTGTTTGTATTTTATTATAAATCTAACTAAGCTGTATGCGTTACATCTTTACTTAATTACTAGTATAATAACCTATTGAATGTTGATACCAAAACAAATTAATCCATTAGGAATTTAAAAAATAAAAATATCCAAACCCATTTTAACATATAGAATATTACTTAAAACTCAGGAAAAAACTTTGTACACAGGATGATTATAAAAAGTATTAGTAATTAATAGCTCACCTGGCGTACAGGACAATGTGAGCATTTTCTATCATTTTGCGATTGTCATCGTCGTCAACTTTTTTCTTGTTCTCCTCTGAAACTACTGATTCAATTTAAAACAAAAACCAAAAGTGAATGATTTTTAATCCAGTCAGTCAGTCAGTCAGTCAACAAGCATGGCCGCAATGGTTAAAATAGAGCATAGGGATAAAATGCAGTTTTTGGCTTATATCTCAAAAACTAAAAAGTAGGCCAATATCAATATGCAAAAACATTTTCAGACGAATCGGACAAATCAATTTGGAGTTAATAAGCCCGAAATAATAATGTTTATGAAATGACGCAGGTTTTAGCTACAAATGTATGATCTTGAAAACTTTTATAAATAAAGAATAATTTTAAACATCTAAAATGTTGGATAAAATAAGATCTACCAATAAGCGTAACGATCTAATTCGTCAATTGATCTCTCTAGGTGTAATGGCCTTAAAAAAGTTTTAACATTACATTTTTTGAGAATTTTTTTCGTCAAAAACTGTGATAGATAGCCAGAAATTTTAAGGCAAAATGTCCAGCAAGGTATGACCTACAATATGTTACATAACTGAAATTGTCAACTAAACACTTACAGGTGTTATTCCCCTCGAACGACAATTCTTTTTTTTTGCCAACACCATGAAAGATAGAAAGAAACATTAAACAGGAAAAATGGTCAGCAAGGCAGTACCAGAAAATGAGTCAACATGACCGATATCGTCAATTTTTCTGTAAAAGAAGTTATTTCCATTGAAAAATGATTTTACAAACTTCTTTGTATCATCTTAATTGCTTTGTGAATAGGACTGAAGACAGCAGTTATGTTGGTAAAATGGGACAATGTAGGTTTTGACAAAAGTTTGCAAACTTTACTTGTTGTTGAGGACAATACGGTGACTTAAAGTAATAGTGAATGACTGTGAATTTTATGTATACTTTTTTATACTCGCCTGACATATAGTTTACCTTCTGGTTATGAGATCGTGTGTTTTCGTCGTTGTATATCAGATTAATTTTTCCTATTAGATATTTCTAATTGGGAAACCTTACTGTCAGTATTTTATGTATGCTTACTCTCTGTCCGCCCAAACGTCTTGTAGAAAATTTACATTTGGATTATTATAGAACAACTATACTTGGCAAATGTGAACGATATTTATCCGTTATAATGTATTAATTTCGAGGAAAATATTATTATGATCCTTGTTCACTGTTGATTGATTTGCACACGTAAAATTTTGTTACTGATAATTATCATTGAAACGTTCCAGAAAAAAACATATTTACCATCCCGCATTCAAACAAAAGACCAATCTAATCGAGATAAAGCAGCAATTATAAGTAGACGAAGCTACATGGATGATATGATTTGAATTAACGACTACAGAACACAGTTTTAAGACTTAAATCCGCTGATTTTATGTTCCATTTTCAATAATTCTAGTATAAATTCACAATTTTCCTTGAATTCCTACATACTGTATTTATCGTTCAATAAAATGTGTACAATTTACATGTCTTGTTTGTTCATTAGCGAATAATGCGCGTCCATTTCATGTACGTTTTCTATAAAGTTTTATACGACTGTCATATAAGAGAGAGTTTTAGCTAGCTTTAAAACCAGGTTTAATCCACCATTTTCTACATAAGAAAACGCCTGTACCAAGTCAGGAATATGACAGTTGTTGTCCATTCGTTTGATGTGTTTGAGCTTTTGATTTTGTCATTTGATTGGGAACTTTCCGTTTGAATTTTTATCGGAGTTCAGTATTTTTGTGATTTTACTTTTTCTTTGTTCTCTATAAACATTAATTCACCTATAAGTGGCAAGGTACGAGGTGTATCCATAATGATTAAAAAGATACAGAAAGTCTCTTTCCTGTATACGGTATAAATCAAAAACAAATTTATTAAATAAGTCATCATGCATTTATTCAAATGTATCTAACTAGTTAATCAACAATAATTACATTTATAAGGAAAATAAATAATTCAATGATTTTTTTTTCCATTTATTTCATATGTATGCTGTTATATACAGAATTAATAAGCTATACATATAAAACACAATAAAAAAAACACAACTTTCATTTAAAAAATTTCATATTGGTAAAAAGTGGTTTGTGTGTTATTCAATAATATATAAGTTGCATAAAAATACTTTAAACATTTAACTGTGGTACGTTTGTATACAGAAGCTTTATATTTTCTTGACTCCATGCACATAGTTGCAATCAGTTTAATAAGATTGGTTTAAATGCTGTTGCATTGAATATGATGCATCCTGTAGAAGATACTAACCATAATGATATTATGTATCAGATGCATATTTATTTTGGGAACATCAAAACATGTAAATTCCCAAATGAATCAAAATATTAAAAACTAAAGATTTTTATATCAATTAGAACTGAAGTCATTGACCCAACAGCTCATAATGAACAGAATTTTATTTCAATAAGACAAAGGGAATAAGACTTTTGTGACTTTGAGAAGAAGACCAAGAAAAGAAGCGCTGTTCTTTTGTGATTTGTTTTTGCTGTGCAATTACGGAACTTGGGTCATAGATGATAGCCCATATCCTTTGTTTTTCTGATACCTTACAATGCTTTACTTTTGAAATTTTACTATTTTTCAGGAAATTTAGAAGAATGAAGTGGAGGGCACAAGTGATTTTCTTCCATTATAATTTCTGTTATTTTACATAAAGCTTCATTAGAGACAGCACCTTTTCCTGGTATCCATATCACAAGTTGGAAACGATCACGTGTGTGTCCCTATTTTTGGTATAAATTTTAGAACTGAAAGACCGACACCATCATACAAGGGCTAACAAAGACTATAAATGTATTGAATGTCTGTTTAATAATAATACTTAATAACTGTAAACCTTTGAAGGTATATGATCGTCGACCTCGACGACACAATATTCAATCAACTGATAAAACAGAGTTCGCCTATTTTACATCGATCGTGCCAATATTTTACCATATTCAACGGTATCAGTACCATACATTAAATTGCCAACCGGTTGTTAATTAATGAAATGAAATTAAAAAATCAGAGCAAAAGTGATTTGCATTCTCTACAAATCATTAATGCTAAAGATACTGTAAAGCTTCAGTGTGAGTCAAGGCTCCGTCTTGAAGGCCATACTTTGACCTATAATGGTTTACCTTTTACAAATTGTGACTTGGATGGAGAGTTGTCTCATTGGCACTTATACCACATCTGCTTATATCTATATAATACATTTAAATGATAGAAGAGGGGACACTCATCAAAGATGACGCATTGTTAGATATTTTATTATACTGTAAGTTATTAACAAAAACACAATAATGACATAAAAAGTAACAAATGAATGATATATATAAATTGAAAATGCTGAACCGCCGTGATCAAACTCAAGTTAAATGGTCTGCTACTGTGTTTATTTATTATATAATGTACAGTTATCTTTCTAAAAATAAATAAACGGGCGTGCTGACGGTTTTTGCGTGAAATATTTTATTTGCTGCTAGTTTTGTTCTTCAATTCTAAGGCACGTTTTCAGGTTTTGGGGTCTGAAAGGTTATTTTTTTTTAAACGAGACAATTGTGGTACAATCGACAAACAATTACAGTGGGAATTTTTGTATATATTGAGTACGTTTGTCGTTGCTAAGTCTATTAATTGTCTTATATTCTTTTATTAATTCAACTCTATTAGAATACAAAAAACATATTATTTTACACAGTATTTTACATGGCAATAAAACCAAGGAATTTTCAAGATTTCTGGTAAGGATTAACAGCTTCCTTATCACCACAGATTATCATGGTACTAAAATAGTCAAAAAGTCATGATCAGCGTTAAAATAAACCTATCTTCATTATGTCCATCATACAATTGTTTGAGTCAGAACCTGAAATTCTCAGATGTTCAATCCCGACGAAGAAATAATGTAATATAAACTTTTATGATGATCAACATAATTCTTATCGTATAACCTCGGTCTGCACAAAAAAAGGAGTTGCAATTTTCAAGATTAAAGTTGATAATTCCATGATTAAAGTTGATAATTTCAAGATTTAAGTTGATTAATTCAAGATTAATGTTTGATAATTTCCAAGATTAAAGTTTGAAATTCCAAGATTAAAGTTGAGAATTCCAAGATTAAAGTCAACAATTTGAATAAAAAAATAAAAAAAGGATGGCTCTAATACGCTTCCGTACAAAAGTTTGTATGCAATGATATATATCATATTGCACTAGTGCAAGTAAAGCTTCTAATTAGTGAAGTCATTGCTAACAAATTATAATATACATAGTTTTTCGACCTTTTTTTCTCTCAATAAAAGGGTTATTTAACAATGTTTAATGGATAAGGGTGAATATTATCACATGTAGAATATGCATTGCTTCGCAAGCTCGTGCAAAATAATGATCTACTCGGAATAATATTCAAAACTATCTATTCAAAAAGCGTATAAATTAAAATAATCATAACATAAAGTGATCGATAAGCATTTTAGTATAAGGTTCTAATTATCATAGAGTAAATTATTGTATATTAAGATTTGGTATAAACATTTTTTTTCATCAAAATTTCATAGAGGCAAAAACATAGCGAAAATTGTTTCTGAAAAACTATATTATACATGTAGTTATGGGAAAAAAATGTTCGAAACGGTTACATTGTGTAACTGCAATGTTAACCGTTACACACGTACATAATTTTGTTCGATACTAAAAGTTAATGCGATACCCTGTTTATACTAGGTTAACTTATTTTAATATATGTGATGAAATGTATTCTTCTGATAAATACTATTAGAACTCTAAGTTTCCTTAGTTGGAGGGACTTAGACAACCATTATATACACTTTGTAATAACGAGCAATCAGTTTTTGTAATTTGGTAACGCACTATTAAAGTAAAACGGTCTCATTGATAAACATTATGTTAAATTTACAAATACCAACAAAGAATACACTAACTAAATATGTATTTTCAATTATAGTATATTTTTGATACGTTCTCATTGTTGTCTTTTCTCTAATTAGTGTCATAATTGTAAAGACGTTTTAACTAAATCTTATTTTATTGAACTCTTTGTGATACGAACGAAATAATGTCACTAGCTATGCTGAGACATTGGTCAGCATCTTGTTGACTATAAATTGTTGATGGAATATCATCACCACTGATCTGATCAGGATATCTCATTCGGGTGTGATGTCCAACAACACTAACCATAGCCCTTGCAAGAACGGTTAGTTCTTCTGGCAAACCGTTTGCAATTGAAGACAGTTCGTGACTGTTAGATACATTATTTGCGTCCAAATTGTACCACATAGCTTTCAGGGCCTTCTCTGCTGACTAGAAAATATAAAAATATTACGTTTCAATTTGATGCGTCCGGTTTGATGATAATTCATAACCATTTGATAAACGAAGAGAGAACTCTCCGTAATTCATGCACATTATTTTCTATAATAAGAACATAATTATAATCATAAACTATCGAGAGCATGACTTTAATTTATCTATTAAATTCCCTTAGTTCAGCAGCTTTACTTAACTATATTTAAAACACAGTCATGAATACAGAGAATTGAGTTGCTATTTAAATGCGATCAACAAACCAAGCTACATATACCTCGGTACTTAGCATCTTTTTCAGAATCATCGTGTTTTTATTAAGCACGATTCGTGGATTCCTTAATATAAAAAGAAAGTATTCAGAATCAATAAATTTAAATATACGTTGAACATTTCCTCTTCATGAAAAAGACCTACCTTTTCGGTTTATAGTTAAGATGATTTCGAATGAAGAAAACAGTTATGATTCCTTTTACATGGACCGTTCAATACCAGCAAGTGGAAAGCCAAAATAATATACATGTAAAAATTAAGGACCCATATGATATAAAGAGATCTAACAGCAACAGCCAAAATAATACAAGGTCAACTTTGCCTCAAGAAGATGGAACCTTAAAAAGTATTCAACGGAAAATCAGAATAAAACAAAAATGTATGTCATATATCATATCAGTGGCGAATGAATATGTGAATCTCCTAAATCGCTCAGTCGGTCAGTTAATTTCTTCAAAACACTGAATACCAAAGTAAATATATAACCAGATTTTGTGCACAAATAATAAACTCTTTGATCCTTGAATACAATTTCAATTGAAGGAACCTTTTTTCATTTATCTTGTATTAGACAATTACCATGATTTAGATCCATGAGAAGTTTAAATTATTCAGGACTCTAGTTTTTTCTCGTTTAAATAATGTCCCATTTTGTTATGTGTGGGTCTTTCATGCCTGACTAAAGGATATGGGTTTTGCTCATGGTTGAAGATCGTACGTTAACACATAGTTGCTATCATCCACGACATTTGAACTATTGTGGATAGATGTCTCACTGACATTTATACCACATCCCTGTACTTTAAAATAAAGTTGATACAGATAATTGTCAACAACTTACTGTATGCATCTTATATTTGGCAATGTGATTTCGAAATTGTCTTACCTGATGACAATGGTAGCATATCCAGTTGAATGCTGGAATAGGTGTTGCATAAGGATTTAATGCCTCGGCTGCTTGTCGGTCACACTTAGCCTGTCTCAACCATTTGCGAGCAACTTTAGGTATTGGAATTTTTTCTCTATTTACCCCATGAGTAAAACGGTTGTGTGATGAAAAACTGTTTGAATTATTTTTAGGTGGCGGTGCAAAATAAGGAGAACTTGGTATATCTTCACCCTTATATCGAGATTGCCTGTTGAACTCTTCGTCAATGATTTTACCATCCTTTAGATCACGTATGAGACTTTCGATGAATTGGAAAACTTGGGTTGTTTTTTCTTCGTTTCCAAAGTTTTGATCTGGATGCCATTTAGCCCGAAGTCTTCGTATTAACAATCGGCGTTTTGTTTCATCGGTTATTTTCAAAATTTCAATAAAATGCTCCTTCACTTCGTTTAATAATTCATCGACTGTCTGCGAGTTGGCAGAGTGAAAGGCATTATCTGTTGGTACAACATCTTTAGATTTCGAAGTTAAGGCTCTCTTTCTTTGAAATTTGAATATCTTATATGCTGGGATCTGTTTTTCTTCTGTTTCACCAACGTCTAATAAATATACCTTCTCAAATTGCGCAATATTGCAGTTTCTTGAAAGGTTTTGCGAATCATTAATGCAATTTATTACTTTTGCATAGATATAAACTGGGTCAATGAATTGTCCTGTGCTGTTTTCCTCCTCTTCATAAAGCAAAAGAGCAACGTAATCATTCATTGCAAAATCAGAGTTATAATTGTCAAGCAAGTAGTGTAATGAAAGTGGAACATATGTTCCGGGATCTGGATATATATCAGCAGATACATTCTTAGAGTTTAAGTGAGCAATACTTTCCATATCAAACTTGTCCTTAATTAAGGCTGGATTAGAAATACTGTGCAGAAGGATTTGTACGAAGACCAAGTTTTTTTGAATTTTGTTCACAGTGATTTGTTCAAGAAGCTTTACAAAAGCAAACTGAATACTGTTTAGCCATTCGTGTAGATCCATTTCATTGTCTATACAGTATAATATCCAGGACCGGGTATCATCAATCATCACGGACTCCACAAAAGCGTTCTTTCTTTCTGTACTCTCTTCAAGTTGCCTCCCTTCCAATAATAGTACAGTTTCTAAATCTGACACTTGTTTAACTTTAATTTCACCAATACTTTTTGCTATTATACCTTGTTCATGTTCATTAAAATTCCAAGTACCATGGTTAATGTCTATTTCTGAAGGATGTTTCAATCTTTCATCAAAAACCAAACGAAGTAAACCTTCAATAAATTCATCGGTTTTGATAAACCTAGATAACATTTGAACTTTATCTCCAGTATAACATTCCAATGCATTAAAAATTGTCTCTGTTAAAAGTTCAGACAAAAATTTAGGTTTATTCTCATCTGGTAAAGATTTAAAAGAATAAATTGAAATTTCTTGCAAACCAAGTTTCTCAAATCCGGCAAAAAACATGTTGGTTGTAAAATGTTTCGCTCTTTCTTCCATTCTATTGTTGTCAGATACTATCAATGATTGCGATGAGTGTAATATGAAATCACGATTCGGCAAGAACAAATCAGTTATGCTGAAATCAACAGACATTTTTAATTGAAGATTCAAAAACAAATTACGCACTGCTGGAACAAGAATATCTTTCCTCTCATTTGGTCCAAGTATGGTTGGTTTGCCGTTATCTCCCAAGCTGTCATTATGGAGGCATTTGAGCACCTCTGCAAAATGAAATGATGATGCTTTTGCTGTTGAACCGAGACTTATAAAAAGATCCATGCAACCTCGGTAAACAACAGGAAGACGCATTAGATAAGGTTTAATCACCTCTTTTTCTTCTAGTTGCATAACTATTTGTTGACATAAAAGACATATTGTAGCCTCTTTAACAAAAACTATTTGTGTTGTCTTTAATGTCAGCAAACTTGTGTTCATAAGTCCATTATTTTGCAAATACATATAATGCATTACAAACAGATCTTCAAAAAATGATGCAGTGTTATCTGTTATGATTTCTAATTCATTGGAACATTTTTCATGGACGGAAACAGCAATATTTTGTAGGTTTTGTACAACGTGTTCAACTGCTGGCGAGACACGAACTCCTATAGCTGTGTATACTTCATTCGTGGTACACGTTACATAGTCTGGCATTAGATATGTTGATGTCCATACAAGCTTCATCGCATTCGTGTCATACAATGTACATTCATCAAACGATACCAGCTTTCGACGGTCATACTGTTCATAAATCCATGACAGACGATGATCAATGTCCAATTCAAATGGTTCTATAAATCTGATCGACTTAACTTCAGACAAGCGTGTACAATTCAACTCTTCGAGAATGTCTGCGCGGTTCATCAAATGCATAACTAACAACTTAGACTTGCACTTTGTTTCCAAAGACAATGTTTGCAGTCCCTCTCTCGCAACCTCTTTTGCAAACATAACTACCATTTCCGGAGTAGCTTCCATTTTCATTCCAATGATTTCCATGAAACATTCCCACTCTTTTCCATTATATGGAGACGGAGGAAATGTGTCATCTTTGCACATTACACTGAATAGCTTATTATGTGGATTGCAAAAATTCAATGCACAAAGTAAAACATTGTTTTTAAACAAGAAAGGGCATCTTGATAATTCGGTTATCAAGTGTTTCAGTGTAGATTTAAATTCGCCGTCTATTCCTTTCACAAATATTTTATCTCTGATGTACTCTAGATGTTTAAAGTGTGCCACTTGTGGCATGTTTTGAAAGTTTGGTATGATGTATTTCGAATAAAGTTCACATGTGTTGCAAGCTACAAATCCAAGTTTAATATGAAGATGTGTTATTCTTGTTATCTTCTTCAAAAGTACGATACCCGATGAATTTGCCCATTCTTCGATTCCAACAAACGGGATATTGGTTGGTAAAACCAGGACTGTAGTGTAATAACTTTCTACATTTGTGTTATATCCACTAACTGTAATAAACACGGGGATGCTCCGTAGCTTTTCCAAGATTTTATTGATAGGGTATTCTAATTCAAACGTCTCTATATTATCATTAATGTATTCTAAGATTGCAGAACAGTCATCCTCAGATATTGCTTTCTTGTGACTTCTAAGGTTGTGAACAAGACATTCAAAAACATCTAATGAATTATCACACGATACCACTAATCCTTTTGCTACTTTAAATGCTGCTTCAAAATGTTGTAGCTTTTTTGTAATTTTATTTTCCCTCCAAAATATACGAGTGTCTAATTCTGGCATTTCTATCCTTTGTAAAGCGTCATGCAGTGGTTTATCAATTGTAAAGGATTCTCTATAAATAACGTATTTAGACATTCCAATCCTTTCAAGTTCATATTGTTGACCTCTACGTATAGGAAGTAAGTACCATTTTGACAAAACATGTGCAATAGAATCATTTTCGTTATGTTGCTTAGAAGATTTAAGCGCAGATAGAACTTCTGCAAAATAGTCCCATACACCTCTTAACCAATTCTGATTCGGAATGCTTTCTTTGGCTGGATTCCATGGAAATGATGTGTTTGACTCTCTGTACGTCCGGCGACATATAACATCTTTTATCAATATCTCAAATTCAAGTAAAGTAAACTTTTTCAGACATGGTGATATAATGTCTTTCAGTAGGTATTGTATTTTCTTGTTGATGAACTTTTCTTCTAAACCTTGCATTATGTTACAGTGTTTGGTGACATAGAAAGGTGTCATCTCTGAATATGCCAACAGGATATTATCATTTGTAATGCACAATGGTAATCCAGGCAATTGTTGATTGAAAGAGCTACTTTTTTTGCAAAAATTCAGCAGGTTATCCACATTCAAATTTGTTTTTAATGTTGTACTTCCTAAATCCTTTCCCAGCCCAACTAGCTTGCATGAATCATAGTTCGCATTTAAATGAGACTGAAGAAATGTTACAACAATGTCCGGGGTTACACTTTTTACTTCGAGTTCACATGCCGACATTTCTTCAAAAATACCACATGATAAATCAATCACCTGTAGATTTAGTAATTTCATGAGGCTCACTACTGAGTAAGCATCCAAAGACTCTTTTTCTTCTAAGCAAAAAACTGATGAAAATTCAGAATTTTTTTTCCTCAGACAAATCCAGTCAACATTGCATTTAGTCACATGTATACTAGTATAATCAACAAAGTTAAGAAAAATTTTTGAAATTGTTGGGAACAACTGGATCTCCTCTATAATTTGGCGGTATATTTCAACGCACAAACTTTTCCAATTATTATCTTTTGCTTTCTTTATGGATGGAAAATGTTTAAAGTATTCTTTCAACTGATTTCGGACATGGAACTCACTGTTGACTTTTTTTGTAAATTCGTTACAGATATCACGTCGTTTTTCAAGTGCTGCAATGTACGATGGGGCAATTACCGATGCCATCAGAGTTCGGTTCCATATTACCTCTAGACTTTCTTTGTTATCCTCCCATAAATTCCTTCTAGACTCGTGATTCAGAGCAAAATGACCATTCACATGCATTGGTAGACCAGTTATAATTGGCAATGGTAAGATACAAAAGGCACTGAATTGTAATTTTGCAATGTTTGAGAGAGGAAGTGCAACACCTCCCTGGGGCAAAAGTCCTAAACCACCAGCAGAGTAAGCATTGTGTACTTCTTTCGGAACTACGCCTTTTTTTAATCCAATTGTCTCCACAACAAACCAGCTTTCCTCATCTTGTTCTACGTTTTCATTATTCTCATCAAAAAAACATAAGTGCATCGTTGTCCTTATTTGAACAACGTGTTCAGTTGTTATTTGTGTTCTATTTTTTATTTTTTCTGCAACGTTTAGTCGTTGTTCATGAAATTCACGCTTCTGTCTGTTGTCTTCCTGAGACATTTTTATAGTTACAGAATATTCATTTATTATTTGCCCATTCTCAACTCGTGAAAATAAAACCTTGCGGATATGATTTAAAAAGAACAAAGAACGTCCAGCTTGGGTTTTAAATTTTCCAAGCAATGCTATTATTTGGTCCGTATCCATAGCGTTGTCCGATATCTCTGAAGGTGTTTTTCTAAGAGGAAATCTAAATATTGTACCCTCATCTCCCATAAGACATTCTTCATGATACGGCACAAACACATCGGGGACTGTATCCTTTAGTGCATCCAAGTCACAGTATCTACTACCTGGTTTTCGCTTATTTGCAGCAGTGGCATACTTGCATAACGGATCAAAAATACAAAGAGTTCGATTACCTTTAGCCATCTTTTCTCCCTTGGTGATAAAACTTGGCACATCTGTCAGATGATATACGGCATTAAAACCATCGCCGTACTTCCCTGTTGAGGTTGGATCTTTTCTTTTACTTCCAATTCCTAGCAGTTGAATACATTTTAAGTCATTTTCCGCAAAAGAACTGTTGTTATAAACAAGAACTGATGGTCCCTGAAGCTCTTTGAAATCTCCATCAAACACTTTTGCAGATGAATAGTTATTGAAGTCGGTGACAAAATGAATCTCCGTTGCCCCGGCATCATCAGCATTTTGTAACAACTCTTTAAAAATTCCTTCATCTGCTGGATATCCTTCCAACAATTTCTTTATTCGTGTAGTTAAGTCTTCCGTTTGACCAAATGGCATTTCATTATAGTGTTCTGATATTTTCTTTCTTTTCTTGGATATAATTCCCAAGATATTTGCTTGTGCGCGAGATATGTGTTTACAAGCAAATTTCATAGATTCAGATCTCTCTATTTCGACATCGTCATTGAGACATAATAGATGCACCGGATTTAAATAGTTCGCATCGTCAGGTACCAGAATTTCTCCGTCTTGCAATGGCGGATATAAACCTTCTTCAATTTTCTCTTCTGTCAATGCAATGCACAGAGCACTCAAAAGTGAACAATACTGATGAATATGTTGTTCACCTATGGGTTCTTTAATATCTATCTTTACTTGAAAAGACATAAGAACTTTTGAAATATCATTCGTTGAATATCTATCTTTTACGTCAAGGAAATATAATAATGTTTTACACCTGCTCAAGTATGTATCTTTCTGGTTGATTCCAACAAGATAAGGCAGACAATTGCCATCAAAGTTCAAAGATACTTGATTTGGACTCCACAATGTGTCGTTTATTAACAAACATGTTGAGTTTTGCAAAGGTGCTAATAATGATTGCATTTCCCCTTCGTTTCTATCGATTGACGTTTTGCATTCATTACTAAGCCATTCGAAAATTGTCTCCAAAACAGGACGTACATATTTTACATTCTCTTTATCACACTGCGATATAAGAATTTTTGTTTGTCGTACAACATGGTCCAAGGCAACACCCGTTTTCTTATACCCTTTAAGACCCAGACTTTGCAATATTTGGTCTACATTTTTTGTGTGGATAGCCCTTGTATACACAACTAGATTGGTGCAACAAATTAAATCTTTGCAGTCATCGAAGTATAAATTTTCTGAACATTCCATTGTAAAGAACTGAGGTAAGTGCATCAATGGTGAGACTTGTTTCAGTTTATGTTTTGGTCCACATGTTTTATTCATTTCCTCATTTCCTGCGACTTTCCATTGAAAAGGCCAATTTTTCGGTTTCATCATAACTGGTAGAAATTTGATTTTCGTCAATGCATTCACTAATTCATTGTTCATTTTCGGAGGGGATCTTTCGAAATATTCAAAAATATCCTTGCACCTTTGCATAGCACAGTAAACACACTTCTTAGATATCTTTTCAACTGATGCACATCTATCAACTATAAGACAATCAGGTAGGCTCTTATAAAGCATTCCTAATTTTTTGAAAAGCTCAACGCGGTGTTCAGTTTCCTGCTCCACACTTAAGTCAAGGAAATAAGCATCACCTGGAACAAACAGTTTACTCAAGGAACTTTGCTTTAAGATAATATCAGAGGGTTTCCTCAAAATCCCTCTTGTTGTTGAAAAGCAAGCATGGTTTATGAGTATTTCGTTTATTTTGTCATTGTTTTTGTCAACTGCAAACAATAACAAATTGTTTCGATCTATATCTGAAACTTTTCCTTGATAAACTAATGGTAAAAACACTTCCTCATAAAACATTACTGTGGTAAACAAGGAATCAGTTATTGTATCCCCACAACTCATCGTGAACTGGTGTAGTAACCAATCCGGCATTTGTATAAGGATTTTCCCTTTATCTTTGAGGTACATTAAACTATGTCTGTAGGCAATATGTCCAACATCAGAGTTTGATAATTGTGGGTCCATCATTCTGCAAGAGCTAAATTGTGTCCAATGGTCAAGGTCAGACTGATAAATGACCTTTTGGTTAGACGTCAAAAGTTCAGCTATAAATCTATCTTGTGTTTCTTTATAAATATCTAGGTCTACCACACGAGAATGGAAAACCGGCCACAGTAAATGCAGATCTTTTCCTGGCTTTACATTAATCTCTTGCAAACCCTGCAAAAGAGAAAACAGAGATTTCACAACTGCATCTTTCATGACTGCTCGGTTCCAGTTTAATTCAAAACGTTGTTTATCATCACTCGATTCAATGGAGAGTTGCGTTCTGTCTTGTGTGACGGCAAATGACCCACTAATGTGAAAATTAAAAGGGGTCATTATAGGTAGTGGAAGCACACAAAACAAATGACTAGAATCGTAAAATCCAAACGGTGCATCAGACAATGGAACAGCAATACGTTTTCCGTTGTTGTCCTGTATCATTACAGCAGTAGCTGCTATAGGTAACTTGTGAGCTCCAATATCTTGCATTGATTGTTTTACACATTCATTTGTTCCTGAAGCCCATGAAACCATCCAAGTTGTTTTAGTTGAATTTCCATTCTGTCCATGAAATTGTTTTCCGGTTTCTTTGAATTTCATGACAACTTCAGCACTGTATTGATAAGTGCCAAAATTAGCATTCTTGTCCGATGAATTATTGATTTGTTGTGAACAATGCTTCAGGACTGGTACTTTGTTACGTTTCTTCCCGTCGTTTTCATCTTCTTTATACGTTAACGGGGAGTGCCATTTCAAATTTCTAGAAGCTTGAAAAATAAGTCGTTTTCTTCTGGTGTCGATATCAGAAAGATGAAAAATTTCAATTTCGCTCACGTTTTGAGTAAACAATAAAAGGTTTCCAGCACTTTTTATGAAAATCTCTAACATTTGTCTCATTTCATCGTGATTATAAACTAAGCTGCTTAGTTCACTGCCAGACTGTTGACTAGTTCGGAGAGGCAGTCGAAAAAGTGTTCCGTCAAAATGAGGAATCCTACTGCCTTCAGTGCTTAGGTCACATCCAAATATATTTTTGAATGGTTTGAACTGATCACTCCATTTGTTAAGCATTCTCTGATTTTTCAGTGATTTCATATCAATTTTCATTCCTTTTGTCTTTAGACAGGAGCCCTGTGGATCAAAGATTACCATTATGTCTCCAGATACAAAACTTGGAACATCAGTTAGATTGTAAACCGAACAAAATCCAACTCCAAATTTACCAATTTTAGAAAGATCTTTAGTCACTCCTTCTACCTTCGTTATATTCTTAAAATCGGTTTCACTAAACTGAGCATTGTTGTATACCCAAAGAGCCGGGCCTTGACATTCACTCATCTTGTCATTAAGAAGATTAGTTCTGCAGTCTAGGTTTTCACGTTCGTCATATAAAAAACATACTTTTGTTGCACCCGCATCATCTGCATTCTGAATCAATTCTTTTGGAACAGATAGGCCATCTCTATACCCTTTGAGAAGGGATTTAATTCTGTTGACTAGAGACATTTCTTGTTCCCATTCAAGTACTCCTGTATCCGATAAATAGTGTTCTTCCATTGATTTTATGCCAATGCTTGCTGCAAAAGTTATATCAGGATGGACAGCGAAAGGTTCCTCTTCATCAGTTACTTTAACGTCTTCTGACCAATGACTACTGCGGTAAGCACATTCATGAATGTGTTTAAGTGATAACTGATTTTCCACCTCAGTTTCGACAGGAATTAATGCATTGTAGTCTATTGTACAATGAGAATGGCTCCTCTTGAAGAAAGTAAGAATGTTTATATTATGACGTAAATCCCTCCTATACTCCTTTTCTGTACGAATCTGAATATGGTGTTGTTTAATCTGTTCTTGGACATCTACAAGAAGCTCTGGGGACTGACACATCTTACAACCAAGTCGATGAAAGAAGTCTTTCATATATAAAAATTCACCAGGTAACTGGTAAAGGTACGGTTCAAGGTGTATGTCATCATTGCTGCTGTTTAAGTAAATTTTCTGGGGTTGACAAAAGCCATTTCCTGTCCATACAATGGACCTGTTCTTCATCGATTCAATAAGTGCATTGTCTATTGTTGCGTCGTCTAGAAAACTATATATCTGTTTAACAAAATGATGTAGCTCTGGTTTGTACATTTCATTGTAAGACTTGTCCAGAAGAAGTAACTGTTCAAAGACTTTCATTGGAGGTATATCGCAACAATTTGGATTAAGGTTTTGAATAAAGTCAATAGGCAAATCTGGAAAGAGTGGCATCGTCGAACCGACAAGATTTTCAGCCATGTTAACGACCATCTCATAAGGTCTACAAAGAAAATCTTGACCAAACCATTTCAATACTTTTGGATAAGACTTTGGTTTTCTTAATGATGGAATACAATTCAAGTCGACTAATATATCTTTTAACATCTTTCTGTTGTGACACGTTTCCAGAAGATTTTTATTCTTCATTAATACGTTCAGTAAGCAATTTGCTTGTTCCCTAACCTGAGCATCTTGTCTTTGTGCTGAGGACGCCTTTTGGTTGATACACATGGCAACATCATATATGTCCGTTGCGTTCAAATGTGAGGACGACTTCAGTCCAAACGTTTTTAGAATGTTTAAATAAGCTGTGTCCTGATTTTGAGGGAATTTTCCTTTGTCATTGAACATTTGTACAAGAAGGGGATCTGCTGGATCGAACAATTCATTAGGTGTTTTCAAGAATCCGTTTCCAGATTTAACAAATTCAACCCGTTTGACTAAACACATGATTGCAGTATTGTGTTGGAACAAAGACATATGTTCCATGATGTAATTCATCATTGAATGTTTATGAGTATCGTTGTAGGTCCATGCCCTATCAACTAATTTGTTTAAAATTGGTTCAACAACTTCTGTTAGATTAACTTGTCTTGCACCCAGGCGTATTGCTAAATGGTTCCCTTTGTAGGTCTTGTGTTTGATCATTTTTTCTGGTAAAGGTACAGGAAGCCAATCGTCAGGTGCGACTAGCTGTACATCTTCAACAGAAACAAACTCGTCAGTTTTTCCACACCTAAACATTTTCAACCTTCTTAAAATATGTTCAGCATCTCTTAAGGTATAGTTGGATCCTACAAATTCTACAAATTCTTCCCTGTCTGAACTTTGAACATTGTCGTTGAAGTTTTTCACAAGTTTCTGGCTTAATGCTGCTACAAGTTTCAATACTCCATCAACTGTTGGTCTCTCTACATATTTATCGTAGACTTCGGAACAATAATTAACGTAATGTGGAAGAAAATTTAAAACAGTGACTCCAATTTCATTCAGACATCTCACGACTGATTCCGGCAGAAAGCATCGGTTATCGGCAGCAACAATCAGCGGTTGATTAAGTCTGAGAAGATAGCTACTTCCAGATTTTTTGTCATAATTTGGTAAAATATATAGATTATCGGGAAGACTGATCGACTTCAATTTGAAAAATTCCCAAACAAACTTTAACCAGTTCTCATTCAATAGTGAATGGTTATGCCATCTAACCCTCTTATAGTCTTGACTTTTTCCGAGACACTTTTCTATGGCCTGAGATATGAGTCCAAGAACATCATCTGTTGTCGGCACTGCCAATTGGCTTTTACCTAAAATGAATATTCTACTATAAAATGTACCTGCCAATAAAACAATATGGTTAGTAATATGAATATTACTTAACGAAAGTTTTCATCTACAACATCTAAAAACAATTTAAATCATATTTTGAAAAAAGAGCTCAAATTTCAAACAAACGAAAGTCAAGTTTCATATTGTTATTAATCTGTTTCTTAGATATTGTTATTCTTCTTATGTATATTCTTTCAACGATTAGACCAAACCTAATAAAACTTTACAGAAGGTTGCCAGTGAGATAATTGTAGATGTGCAGGTAGAATTTGAGAGTTTCAAACTGTCAGCTTTATCGTGGGAACCGCAAAATGTGAAGAAATTAAATGATGTAATATTCTTCTGTCTATTACTTTGATTATGTATCAACGAAACCTTATTATTTCTCGACTTAACCTTTTAAAATGTAAACGTATTATAAGTATTTATTTAGAAGAGGTCTAATATGATTTTGAAGTGTAACTGCAGCGGATACTTCTAAGAATAAATTTACAATATACACGTTTATGAAATCACGTAAGTAATAATTTCTTCAACGTTATTGAATCAAACCCAATACAACTTATCGAATATGTTACCTTTAATGCGAAGTGTTAAAGTAAAAACAAAATCAACGTTTTCAAACTGACCACCGCTGTCAAGGGAATAGCAACATTGTTAAAAATTAAAAAAATGTCATTTACTGAATCAAATTTGCATGAATAAAAAAGTATCAATCAAAATACCGAACTCTGCGGCAAATTAAAAAAAACCCTGACAAAACAGACACTCGACTATATCAAATAACGAAACGATACATGTGGATATATTGTTGACAATTGCAATTCTAGTTAACCTTGCCAGATAATTTCATTTGGTTGAATTCTGTATAAAGACTTTTGGCTTTACTTTTAAAACTAGTTATTTTGTGTTATAATCTTTTTATAAGACAAACATGTAACATGTGTAAGTGTAACTACATTTTATGTCATCTATAAATAAACATGTTCATTAGAGTCTGCACATATATATATATATATATACAAGTCTAAATTGAAAATAACGTTCAAACCTATGATTGCGTTGGAAAAAAACCGCAATTTTTATACGTGTGCATGCAAAACAAATTTCTTGATAGAGGGGTCTAAATACAGCACAAACAACATTTTCAAAAGACCAAAAAGTACAAAAGTATATTTTAACAAAACGCATTTGACTAACAGGTCGAACAACAGATGTTCTTAAACCCTGCTGACTGCCATTGGCGATTGACAAATAAACGGATCACAAGATGTTACAAAATAGATCTTTTAAAATTTATAAATTTAATACCAAACAGAAAACAATAAACTTGCGGAAAAGATGGTATACCGCAAACAAAAGGTGCAAAAATTAGTACACCATATCCGGATTTCGACAATTAATGTCTCTTCAGTGATGTTAGGGATCGAAACGGTATTTGGAAGGCCATTTAATTTACCTCAATTTAGGATAGACTCTTGAATTTTGAAGAGTCGAAATATTAGAAATAGGATGAACGGATCATACAAACCCGAAGGAAAATATAATACAAGCCCAAACGAAAAAATATAAACAAGTCTAAATTGAAAACAACGTTCAAACCTATGATTGCGTTGGATAAAATCCGCAATTTTTATACGTGTGCATGCAAAACAAATTTCTTGATAGAGGGGTCTAAATACAGCACAAACAACATTTTCCAAAAGACCAAAAAAAGGGAAAAAGTATATTTTAACAAAACGCATTTGACTAACAGGTCGAACAACAGATGTTCTTAAACCCTGCTGACTGCCATTGGCGATTGCCAAATAAACGGATCACAAGATGTTACAAAATAGATCTTTTAAAATTTATAAATTTAATACCAAACAGAAAACAATCAACTTGCGGAAAAGATGGTATACCGCAAACAAAAGGTGCAAAAATTAGTACACCATATCCGGATTTCGACAATTAATGTCTCTTCAGTGATGTTAGGGATCGAAACGGTATTTGGAAGGCCATTTAATTTACCTCAATTTAGGATAGACTCTTGAATTTTGAAGAGTCGAAATATTAGAAATAGGATGAACGGATCATACAAAACCGAAGGAAAATATAATACAAGCCCAAACGAAAAAATATAAACAAGTCTAAATTAAAAACAACGTTCAAACCTATGATTGCGTTGGATAAAATCCGCAATTTTTATACGTGTGCATGCAAAACAAATTTCTTGATAGAGGGGTCTAAATACAGCACAAACAACATTTTCCAAAAGACCAAAAAAGTGAAAAAGTATATTTTAACAAAACGCATTTGACTAACAGGTCGAACAACAGATGTTCTTAAACCCTGCTGACTGCCATTGGCGATTGCCAAATAAACGGATCACAAGATGTTACAAAATAGATCTTTTAAAATTTATAAATTTAATACCAAACAGAAAACAAACAATTAACTTGCAGAAAAGATGGTATACCGCAAAGAAAAGGTGCAAAAATTAGTACACCATATCCGGATTTCGACAATTAATGTCTCTTCAGTGATGTTAGGGATCGAAACGGTATTTGGAAGGCCATTTAATTTACCTCAATTTAGGATAGACTCTTGAATTTTGAAGAGTCGAAATATTAGAAATAGGATGAACGGATCATACAAACCCGAAGGAAAATATAATACAAGCCCAAACGAAAAAATATAAACAAGTCTAAATTGAAAACAACGTTCAAACCTATGATTGCGTTGGATAAAATCCGCAATTTTTATACGTGTGCATGCAAAACAAATTTCTTGATAGAGGGGTCTAAATACAGCACAAACAACATTTTCCAAAAGACCAAAAAAAGTGAAAAAGTATATTTTAACAAAACGCATTTGACTAACAGGTCGAACAACAGATTTTCTTAAACCCTGCTGACTGCCATTGGCGATTGCCAAATAAACGGATCACAAGATGTTACAAAATAGATCTTTTAAAATTTATAAATTTAATACCAAACAGAAAACAATCAACTTGCGGAAAAGATGGTATACCGCAAACAAAAGGTGCAAAAATTAGTACACCATATCCGGATTTCGACAATTAATGTCTCTTCAGTGATGCTAGAGATCGAAACGGTATTTGGAAGGCCATTTAATTTACCTCAATTTAGGACAGACTCTTGAATTTTGAAGAGTCGAAATATTAGAAATAGGATGAACGGATCATACAAACCCGAAGGAAAATATAATACAAGCCAAAACGAAAAATATAAACAAGTCTAAATTGAAAACAACGTTCAAACCTATGATTGCGTTGGATAAAAACAGCAATTTTTATACGTGTGCATGCAAAACAAATTTCTTGATAGAGGGGTCTAAATAGAGCACAAACAACATTTTCCAAAAGACCAAAAAAGTGAAAAAGTATATTTTAACAAAACGCATTTGACTAACAGGTCGAACAACAGATGTTCTTAAACCCTGCTGACTGCCATTGGCGATTGCCAAATAAACGGATCACAAGATGTTACAAAATAGATCTTTTAAAATTTATAAATTTAA